TGTAGAATAGATAACGCCTACTGTAGTCCTATTAAATAACTGTTAAAATTAAATAACGAAATTTTCGCAATATTTGCTATTGACAGTTAACAAAAACAGTATTATTTGAATGTCAAATTTAAAAAAAAATGAAATATATCTAAATAATTACAATTCCAAAAGTTAAAAACGTTCAATTGAAAGCGGAAATAATGCATACTGTAATTAGCATAGTAATAAAAATAATTCATGAAAGTTATTTGTGACCCAAATTATTTATGAAGGATGTAACGTAATTTCAAATTGATTTTAAAAATGATTCCAGGAATGTTTTCACGACCTCGACAAGAATGTTGTCAAGGTGTTGACTTAAATCGAAATTATGATTGGCAATACGGTATAGAAGGATCATCCAACGATCCATGCTCGGAAATCTACCAGGTTGGTTAATCATTGCTATCACTGTTATAACAAACATATCAAATTACATTCCTATAACTGCTAATTTTTTATAGTCAATTTTCAACAATATTTTTTTGAACTTATCTAAATACACATTTTTGTTCAAATTATTCAAATTTAAATCAGTGTTGGTGGAAAAAAAGTTTGAAGGAAAATTTTAATTTCGCGAACAAAAAAGCACAAAAAATTTTTCTTTTAGAAATATTTTAAATTCTAATTGAGTTCCTACTACTTTGTAAATTTTTCATTCATTTATTTTTATTTTTTTTTTTTTTGTTAGATTGGTGATTATTTGCATTTTGTATTCTAACTTTTTCAACTTACAAAAGAGTTTGCAAAAAGAAAAGAAAAAAATGAGACACTATTATTGTTTGCTTATTTGTTTATTGTAGTTTGCTTACAACACTTGCTTATTTGTTTACTATTAGCTTGATTGCATGCATTTTCCAGGGTCCTTATGCATTCAGCGAACCGGAAACACGAGCCGTGCATGAGTTCATTTCCAAACGGCGTGATACCATTAAAACGTTTCTAACATTTCATAGTTATTCCCAAATTTTGATGTATCCTTTTGGACATCGCGAGCGAACATACACATCTGATGTTGATGATTTGGTAAGCTATTTTATTTTCTGATTCACGTATGATAACGTATGAGTGATTCATATGAATGATCTCGTACAATATGAATTTTACTAATACATAAAAATATGCGAAAGGTGTGGAAAAAAAAACTGTAAAAATGATTACCGTTATGCTTTCTCAAAGCAATTAGAATGATTGACAAAGTGATAATAAGTTCAACATTATCAATTTATAATGTTCGCTTGCTGAGAGATTAAAGGTCATGAAGAACGGAGGAATTTTTTATTTGCAGAGAAGTACAGCATTGCAAGCAGCAAATGCTTTACGTGCTGCGTATGGCACGCAATATACGGTTGGTACCGGTGCTGATACTTTGTGTTAGTTTTATTATTTACTGAAATTTGCCTGAAATTTATCAATGGCAAATTTTGTTTAAATCATTGAATTTTCTAAAATGTGATAATCGAAAATTGAGATATTTTTTTTCTTGGGATATTATCTAAGAGTTTTGGAAATTCAGATTAGGATTACCGAGAATTTCTATTCGATAATCATGCTGAAAATAAATGATAAGAGATTTTCTAGTACCTTTTTTTTTCCTTCTTTCAGACCCAGCATCTGGTGGGGCAGAAGATTGGGCGAGAGGTCGAATGGGAATAAAGTATTCATATTTGTTCGAACTACGACCAGGCGGAGAAGTCTGGGATGGTTTTCTGTTAGATGAAAGTCAGGTAAATGAACTATAAAAGTTTTTTCTGTTATCAATATACCTGTGAAGTTTGACTTGATTCCTATTTTAAATCATATCATCGTCAAATTCATCTTTGCATGAGATAAATGTCAATTGTAACTCTTCTTTTTGCTTATTTTTTGTGGTAAATGTGTTGTTGATGAGGAAATGCCCTAAAGTTAAGAAAGCATTTCATTTTCTGCCAAAATTTCGAAAAAAATAAGCAAAAAAAAAGAGTTACAATTGATAATAATAAAAGATCCTATCATATCACAAACTTCCCGCAAATATTGTCGTTGCTGATTAATCATAAAATCAAATAAATTTCGAACTTCATTGATATTTTCTTAAATAATATTTTGAATTCGTTAAATTTTGAAGAAGCTGAAAAATTTTCATAAACCTGCTAAAAATTTCAATTTTTTCTTAAAGATAATACCAACCGCACGTGAAGCATTCGAAGCTGTAAAAGTCATTGCAAATCGTACGTCTGCGATGTTTACGCCGAAAAATTTGCGTGATGAAATAAGAGAAACGGTATGGAATTATTTGTAAATTAGAAATTTATTTTTTCTCTTGTTTTGCATTATAATTAATCACAAGTACAAAAAGTTGAAATTATTTATAGAAAATATGTTAATTTAGTTAGGAAAATTCATTACAAACGTATTTGAAATTTTGTTTTTAAAAAATTTGCCTGAAATTTTGAAACTAACTTTAAGCGTTTTATCATTAATCAAAATGGAAACTGTTATAATTAGTGCATTTTTGCTAATTAGAAGAAAATTTATTAGAAAAAAAAAGCGAAATAAAAAAATGAGTGAAAACTAAAAATGGCATTTAGGAATTATTGTTTCACTTTGAAATAATAAAATTAAACAGTGTAAACAACAACAAAAACATACGATACAAAATAATTGTTTTTGTGTCAATTGAAGTGAACAAGCAAATTTTATAATAGAAGGAATTATTAAATTTCAATTTATCTCATTTTTATGTTAATTTTAGAGTCAGAACAATACAGCTCATAATTAATCACATGTGAAATCATTGGAAAATCCACCAACAAAAATAAATTCAATATGTGATGACTTATTAAATACTTGAATATAACTTCTGAAAAATTATATGTTTCAAATTATTGCACTGTTTTATTGAACTTTTTTTTTTCATTCAGTTTTAAAAATTTTTCATGAAATTTATTCTTTAGAAACTGCAACATTTTTAATCTATAAAGGAATTTTAAAATTTCCCGATTATGAATTGGAAGAAATAAAATAATCGTTATGCGATTTAAATTATTGCCATCCATTCATGTAATTGTCATGAGAATGAAATTGAACTGAGAAAGTGAGTGTTTTCCAGTTTAATTTCATTTTCATAGCGAATGCAATAAATTTGCAAAAATATAGAGAAATAAATTTGTAGATAATATCATAACATATTTATATTCATAAAAAATAATCCTTAGCCTAGCGTCTAAAACACGTAAAGTTTGGGACATTCTCAAATTTTGGCCTCATAATAAAGGACTGACCAACACACGGATTACAGTCATTTTAATAGGTTAATAACTGTAGATTAGATTTTAAAAAATTTTTCCTTTTTTTACAATTATCACGTATTACTACTTCCCACTTTGCTTGTCTCAATTTTTTGGTTATTTCAAATTTTCAAATCAAATCTTTTTTTTCATAAAACTATCCTTTGTCATTGTCAGTCTATTTTTCACTTTTATATATTATTAATTTCTTTTCGGCATGCGAAACAAATTAGCATCCGAAGAAAAACGAATGAATTTCATTAGAATGGTTAATCTTTGACAAATTATGGTGCAAGAGATGCATTTATTGCTGGTATTACAACCTGCATAATGCTA